TAACGCGTTGGCAATGGAACTTTTAATGTTTTTCCCTGTAGCATCACATGTGTGTGGGAGTTTGCGATAGTGGCTGCATCAAATCATAAGTTACCTCATCGAGGTAAAATCAGCTAAATAGATTTCTACAGTAGAGGAGGAGCGCACCTAGGCAACAGTAGTTGAAATTGTACCCCAAGGAAGGCCTTCATAATGGAGGCCTCAAAGGAAAATTTGAAACAAAGGTAAAGTTTTGCCGTCCAAGTTGCTGGCTGATTGAGAGGACACTGTAGCAATCCACCAGTACAGCAAAGTAAGTGTGTGTTTCAAGAGACATCAGCAAGTTTTGAGGAAGCACAACAAGATCTGCTAATGAAGTTATGGGAAGTCAAGTCCTGAAAAAGCACGTAGAAATGTTTGGCTCGATGCATATTTAATTGTAGCCTTTTGATCGCCATCTGGGTGGCATGAAATTATTTTTTGCTTTGATATCTAGTCATGGAGCTTGTAAGTCAATGATACTTGCTCTTATCCACAGGTTTTAATGTCCCCTAGGGATGAGGGCGTTACGAAAGCTCCCCCTCGCTAAAAATCACGAAACACCGTCACTGCTGACACCAAATAAGTGCCACAAAGCCCAACGATTAGCCTTTAGGGATATCATATCGAGACAAAGATGGAAAAAGAATGTGAACGTGGAAATTTCCTGATAGTATACCAACTCGTTAAAATCGTAAAAGGAATGGAGCAATGAGAATGATAGATGCTATAAGCAACGGCCTAATCTGCCCTACATTAACGACAGCCTAGACATTGAAGGAGGCATTTTTTGGCCCAAAATCACAGGATACGAGCTCATTCAGAGCGTTTGATCAGTAAGTAAAAAAAAGGTCTTTTGGACAGTGATTTGTAAGGCAAGCTGAAGTAGATACTTTAAGACAACATCTGCCCCTCATTCCTAGACATATGCGGGATATTTGCACCAAACAAGCCCTTTCAGTCTCCCATGAAAGTGACATGCAGACCTATTCACAGGCTGATAATAGTACCACATTCTCAGAGGAAGCTCAGGTAGCAGAATTAAGATTTAGTCGCCTATTCTTGCTGCTTCTCAGACCGAATATTAACCGAAATGGTGGTCTTCCGACACAACCGCGTACTCACGAAAACAAACTACTAAAGGAAGTTCTCAAAGTGAAACTACGTAAAACTGTAAGCATTTTCAAGCAGAAAAGGGAAGAAAATTCCATTTGCCTTACATCAGGAAACTTTTCGGGAATTTATGACATTACTTGCAAGTGTTCCAAAAGTTACACATTAGACGACCACAAAGAGCATTAAATGCACTGGTGCTCCTACCTGTTGACGTGCTGTCAGGAAAATGAGGAAACGCGAAAGAAGGTAGCCCAGACGTGACATTTGTTCGAGGGGTGGATGCGCCTTGAAGAGGGGCGTGGCACTGGTGGAAGAGGAGTACCTCTCAGCTAGACAAAGTATTGCATTGCCAAGCAGTGTCACATACTGCCAGCAGAGTTCGGCGCTACCGTATCTAGTATAGAGGAAAAAAAAAACTAACCGGAAGTGGCAGAGGATCAATTCTAACCTCCTAACGGTATAAGATCATGATGACAGTGCAACCTAGCCACACAATTGCTGATAGCGTTAACATATTCAACGGTAAAAATAAATCTCAGGGAATCCTAAAATAAACTGGTCGCACTGCTACAAGGTCGACTGCACATTCGCAATTAACCGCTATCACTAAACGGTGGCTTTCAAGCATCCAATCTTGTGAAAGTTTCAAACACTAAAACACAAGAATTCGTTCCTTCAGTGCAAGGGAAGATACCGATTTAAACACTGTCATAAGTCCTAAGTGCTCGAAATATCAAAAGTACTCCACGGGAGAAAAATAACATCCGGAAGAGGAGGAGGAAGGAGTGCTAAGAATAAACGCACTGCCACGAAGCACAACGGTCTCACACTGGGTATCTGCCGAGCATAAGCATAAAACAGAAACAACAAGTCTCGAACCATAGGCCCCAAGATGCCCGGTTTCTACGACTCAAACACTTGAGGATCGATGCATCCATTAGATGACTACGTGACTCTGTTGGAAGTTTCTCTTTCAGTTAGATCTTAGCAATTCGAAAAAGGAAAACAATGACAAACACACTCGAATTGTAATACCAATCTGCTCGAAAATGTTAACTGTAAATAGCGGTCTTATTTTTACATTGTGTAGGACAATGCTAGCCTACAAACCTGTGGTCTGACAAACAGATTTTTGCAATGATCCGCTATAATTCGTGGGAGGAGAACTGAGGAGTGAACTTGAATGCGTCGAATCTGATACCCTCTACCTTAGACCACGGAAAACAAATTAAAAAGGCATAAGAAAACTCTGTGTAATGCAGCAGCTAACACTACTGCAAGATCAACCCTCAACATTCAAACCTTAGGAAGGAACTACTGCTTCAATCTCATTTTTCCTCTCATAGGATCTTTCAAAGAGATAATTGCCGTTATCAGTGTCGGTATTATGCAGTTACATTTTAACCAGAAGGAACTGAGTGCGGTAGAAAGGTGAGATAAGAAGGACAAGTAGATGCCGAGTTTTTAGCAGCTCATGGAGTGGAACTAAAGCGTACACGTGATCACTAGAAAGAACATAAGGATTTAAAAAGCCTTCTGCTATCGATTCACTCTTAAACATGGTAAAGAACCATTCGACATCAAAACACAAAACCTGATGTTGGGCACAAAATTAAAAAAGAACAAAATTTTTGAAAAAATTTCTTCGATGGTGGTCCTCGTCTGACCAGTGCTCATAAAGACCATCCGATTATAGCTTTCAATCCTTGAAGGTTGTAACAATTCAAGACGGGATGTTAATACTGCCTGTGCATTAGGACCTTTATGACAGCTAAATTTGGTCTTGGTAATAAATGATCCAAGTGGGGGAGACTCGCGACTACCCAGATCAAGTCCCCCGAGAGCACAACCATCAAAGTAGCAATAATATCTGTGCATTAATGCATATATTAACAACTTTGCGCGGATGTAACTTTCATACCTACTCATTTGAGACCGATCATTACACACACTTGGTATAATGTCAGAAAATACTTGAGTTGTAATGGACTCTCCTTTGGTATCTTGAAAATAGATGTATTGGTTTAGAGCAGCACAAATTCGACCCTTGTTTAATTAGTTTGCTGGAATAACAAAGATAGTACTAAATACATAGGAATACGACCATCAAATTTACTGAGTTAGGATTCCTTGGACTCAGTCCGGTTAGACGTACACTTTGGACCGACTTCAAACGAAAAATGTAAATGGTAGTTTTAAAGTGACAGCATTATTCCGCCCGAGTGGATTGTTGCCAAACCGATGCAACCCCATACTGAACAGTTTATTCGTCCGCTGTCAAATCCATTCAAGTGTTTTGGAACTCAGGGAACCAAATTGTACGACTCACAACACCAGGGGAGTGCCAAAACCCTGATTCATATGAAGCATCGCCATAAAAAGTGCTGCTACATGAGTCAGAATTACCCGAGATTCCTGAGTGAGGGAACGATGAGTGAATGATGGTCTACGCGAAGTTGCTACCGAGCGGCCGAGAATGTTCGCCCGGAAGTGATATTTTTGCCATTTTAATACTTTTACTAAATAAATGTAAGTAACAAGATATTTCAAACATAAATGTCCGCAACAAATTACCTGACAACGAAGCACCAGATATCTTGAGCGACAATTGAAATGATCGGTGAGGCATGGAGTGTTGCCTCCAAAAGTGCAGTCTCCTATGAAGGAAACAACCAGATCAATGCTGTACACCAGAAACCATCACCCCAAAGTTGAAAGGTCGTAGAAAGTAGTTACCATCAAGATTAGTTGCTGCTGCTTAAACTACAATAGGTGAGATTCCAAAAGCTTGTTAACATGAACAAGATAATTGCCCCTCGAAGAAAAATCGACAAGACTGAATGTTTTCAATCTTAAGCAAAATTTGCATTACCACCACCTACCAAAAAGGAGAAGATCTCGTTCGGTAGGTGACGCACTGATCTGCAAATTTCTATCGTGATGGATGTAAGGAATTGCTCCACCGCATAGGAGAGTTGTTTGTGATCTACGGGGAAGGCAGGTATCGGTTTAATGGCGGGAGATAAATGAAGTAAGTCCAAAAGAGTGTCGAAACAAACCAATGCTGAGATTCAGAAAGCGTGGAATGTGGAAGTCGGAGGGGTTTGGGATGGACTCATAGGGTTTCCACAACGCAAAAGCAGCTTCCAGATTGGTGAAGAATTCGGCATAGGTATTAAAGTCATCGGAGAACCACATGCTGAAGGCACGCGGATCTGGTTGTATAAAACAAATGTGCGATTATGACAGGGTGAAAATGTGGATAAGAGCCTTGGTAGTGCTGTAGCGGCCTCACCTCTACGTTTGGAAAGGTTCACCATAATACTGGCGAAAATTCGACAGTTGACAAGGGGTGTCAAATCTAAGAAGCAAGCAAAAGTTTAAAACGAATTAAGAGAACCGTTAGCTGACCAGACAAGTATTGAAAATAGCCACCCCATTGAAAGGCCAAAAAGCAACAACGGAGAGGTAGATCATGGAGTTGCTGATGTAAGTCAACGTCATAGTCACCCCTCAAAAAGTGGAATTGATTTCATGCATGGAAAAAAGCGGCCAAATACAATCCTTGAAGACCATGTAACAAAACATAAGTACACCCCCACATAGCCCATAGATGTTAATTCGAAGGTGCTTCAATAAATTGAAAACAGAGGTCCGTACCAGCAAGAACAATCGCATCCACAGCGGCGGAAATGCTGAGACCTGGCTTTGGTCCAACTTGACTGACGCACGAAAGTGCCATTTCAGCAGCTACAAAAAGAGATGTTGAAACCTCCTTAAGGAAGTTTTGCTCCAACCCCGTGCCCGCAGCGAATAAGCCACCCGCATACTGCACTCTAAGATATAACCAAGGAAATGACGAGAAGCTATGTCAACCCTTACTCGAGGGTCCAGGAAATGAAATCCATTACCCGTCGACGTTGAAATTTTTCAGTGGTCAGAAATAGCACCGATTGGAAATGTTGAACACATCCGACCATTAAGCGACATATGAAGGCGATGAGTTTTAGTTTGCCACGCCAGATTGGTTCGGCACTGCTTATTGATAAACACTTCTTGCAGAGAGAAAAGGATCAAGATGCTGACCAAAATACCTCTGTATCAACTATGCACTGACCAAAAAGGCGCTTATTTGTTAGGAGCATGCAGAGAATAAATTCATCTGACAAAGGTGATTCTACGCACGCATTAAAGTCTTCCAGAAGTATTTCCTTTATCTGAACGTGGAATAGGGCAAGAATTCTAGAGTCCGATGTGCAAATGCGTGAGCTTACTGAGAAACAAATTTCCAGACTTGTAAAGCTAAGCGAAGGTCTATTTGATCAGATGACGATGCTAAGTGCCCGAGCTTGACAAGAACTGAACAATATTTGAAATAAGTGTGCCTTACATACTCCGAGAAATTGAGGAGGAAGATCCGATTCCTTAAAAGCTTTGAGCAAATTTTCGTTTAAAATAGACTAAAAATAGAGCGTATTTTTAATGTCTTACACATTGAAAAGCTAAGAAGGTCTTTAAAACATCCGAATCTTGAGCCTCCTTGCAATGCCTTGTTAATTTCTCAAAAAGTTGGTCAGTTAAAGTAATATGGACGCCATACCTTATGGGAAGCTAGGAGCCCACTAACAACATCGGATGCAAATTCAGCTAACTCATATGAAGTTTCTCCACAATTGGAAAAATCCAATTTCCTCATAAGGCGAACTGCTTCCTGAAGGGTGTCCAAATACTATTTCAGTCAATCATATAGTGAAATCACCAAACCTCAGCATCGGATAGAGGAATGGATTCGCTGCTTAGCAGCGAACACAAATGCTTAATCTATAAACGGTTAAAAAAGCATTAAGAGCCACCTTAGGATCCATTAAAAAGCTCTCTTCATAGACATTAAAGTGCGATATTAGAAGCCCATAGCCCCACCAGTCACGAAGACAAGCAAACAGTTGAAATCTAGAGATATGACTGGACCTATGGTAAGTACGTGACCTTGAATGCTCCTGCTAGCGGAATGTAATACAATTTCACTATTTTTTAAGTCTCAAGGGAAATATACACAACAAATCCCAATTTTGAATTAATTCGGCATTCAACGCTTGTGTAAACACAGAATGTTTTTAATATTCTAATGCAGAGCAGGATGACTTCGCCATCACCTACGAAATGGGTCAAATATCCGTTAATGCTTTTCTTGAATAAGTGTGATGGCACACCATTTAGGATCTTTATTTTCCATCTTACGTTCAAAAAAAA